CCCCCCCCCCCCCCCAAACACAGCCCCCTCTTCGAACGAACTGGAGAGGAACGCGCAGAGCCCGCGGGGCCGCACCGTGCGCTGCTCCTCGGCCGCTCCTCCGCCACTGCAGCGCCCGCAGCGTTCGCCCTCCAGAGGCCGAGCGGGGCCGGGGGCGATCGGCTCGCAGCTCCGCGCACCGGGACGGGGTACAGCGCATAGGGGGGAGGGGGGGGACGATACGAGAGGGTCCGTAGGAACGGGAGGGAAAGAGAGGAAATGGGTGAAGCAGAGCGGGATGGGGGGCGGAGAGGTAGAAAGATGGAAGGGGAAAGGATGGAGGTGGACGATACATGGGAGAGCACCGGGAAAGGCGGAGGTGAGCGGAACGGAGCGGGATGGGGGAAGGAGAGGATATAGGGAAGGGATACCGGGAGACGCTGGGGGGAGGGGGGGAGGAATGGGAGAACGGGCGGGCGGACAGACAGACAGACAGACAGACAGACAGACAGACATCACCCCCTCGGTACCTGCACCAGGTGCGCCCGCTCCGCTCCGCTCAGCCCCGACCGCCTCCGTTCCTCTCCGCGTCGCAGCGCGGCCCGGGGGCGGGCGGGGCCCGGGAGCGCAGCGCTGCGCGGAGCAGCGACCGCCGCCACCGCCTCCTCCGCCGCTGCTGCGGCCTCCGCTCCGGCCCCGCCGCCCGCCCCTCCCGCGGGGTGCGGTTTCCATGACAACCGCGACTCCACCTGTCGCGGGGCCGCCACGCGGCGGTGCGCGCTCCCGGAGGAGGAGGAGGAGCGCGCGTGCACGTGGAGGCGCGCACACAAACACACACACACGTGTGCCGGCACCTGTGCGCACGCACGCGCGCGTGGGGCTGCGCGCACACGCAGGCATGCATGCACGCGCGCTCATGCACGCGCACCCATGCTTGTAACCCCCCCCCCCCCCATCCCCGTGCTCCCATCGCGGTGCTGCTGCGTTCGTTTCCCTCTGCTACGATTTTTGCTCTCCAAAAGACCCCGCAGCCGCAGGGCTGTGTGCGAACCGGGACCCCCGGGGGCGGGGAGTTGGGGGAAAGGGGGGGGATGGTGCTTGGGGAGGGCTGGGGATGCGCGCATCTGCACGGGTTGGGGGTTATCGGTTCCAAAGTGAAGCGGCACCGCTGCAGATCTGCACGTCTCCCACCCCCTGCTGTTGCTGTACCCATCGAACAACGTTTTCCTACGCGGGTTTTACAGCAGCCGCCACCTTGCACCCCTCCGCAGCGCTCCGTGGGTGCTGGTTCCATTACAGGGCACCGCATTTCAGTGCTGTACCACGATGTCACCTAAAGGTTTACACCCAGGTTCCCACTGTTTTTATTCTCATCCTCCCATCTCGCTGGAAATGCACGGCCCTCAGCCCTGCACCCATTCCCAAGCACAGAGGATGCTCCAAACCCCAAAGTTTCTCATTCGCTTTCTAAAATCCTCTACAGCCTCCCAACCCTGAGCCAACACCGGGCAGATTTGCTTTCCCCAGCTGCTGCCTAAAGGAAAGAAAAGAAGTCTTTAAACCACTGTAATAACGAGGGGAAGATTCCAGGTTAATTACTGAGAGGTAAACGACAAACACTGCTGCAGAGCAGAAGGGGTGGCTGCACACCTTGCACCTCGTGCTCACCCTGCTCAGGTTGCACCAGCACCCAGCATCGCTTCTGCACGGAGAGAGAGAGGAGCAGGGTGCACTTTGCTGCAAGGAAAACTCTCAAAGCAGCCCTCAGCTCCTTGCAACCTCTGCCAACAGCTGGAGGCTGCAACGCACTGCAGGGCTGCGCTGCTCCCCTTTGCATCCAGCCCTGAACCAACGACCTTTTGCAAGGAGAGGGGCTGCGTTATGGGACCCCCCAGTGCTGCCCTCCCAGCCCCACAAAGCCAGGATAGGGGCTGCAGTGTGGGAGCTGCTGCTTTTCCTTATGCAGCTCGATTTCTTTCTCTGTTTCTTTCTGCTGAGACAGTCTGGGAGCTGTTGCCTTCACCCCACGGGGAGGTGTCTAGTTGGAGATGATATAGGATTTCTTCCTGCAGCTGCTCCGTGCTCGCCCTCCCCTGTGCTTTTTTTTCCATATAAGTGATAGTTGTGGTAGGAATGTGTGGCTGGGGGTCACTCCTCCCCACTGCCACACAGTGGGGGCATGAAATCAGGTGTCTCTTCTGCAAATCCCCCCTGCCTTTGGGCCCTGGGGAAGAATGGAGTCCCTGGGAACACACAGCCAAGGGACATCCCTGCAGGGATGTGGGCACCGAACCTGATAGCACTGAACTGTGGGAGCAACGAACACAGGGAATCCTGAGCTCTGAGAGCACCTGACCCTCGTGCAGCCCCTGCCCTGCACAGCACTGCACTGTGCACCAGGACAGAACCTCAGCCCCTCGCTGCCTCACAGCCCTGCCCTCTCCCAGGCAGAATGGCAGACCCCCATCCCAGGAGGTGCCCCACATCGCCCTGGCTCTGAGCATCCGCATCCCCTTCAGGTCAGGTCTGCCTGTGGCTGAGCACCAACCTCCCCCATTTGCAACAGAGAGCTGCAGAGAGCAGGATTGGGGTCCCCACTATGTCAGCCCCCCCCTCCTTCACCCATCTCCAGCAGGGTGAAGCAACACAGCTCATGACTGGCACCCACCGCTCCACCTGCGTGCACGGAGACGCTGCTTTCATCTCAGCCAAGGGAAAAAAATCTACCTGGAGACCCCCAGCCTGTGTGAGAATCACAGAATGGCAAAGGCTGGAAGGGACCTCAAGGATCATGAATCTCCAACCCCCTGCCACACGCAGGGCCACCAACCTCCCCATTTAATTCCAGCCCAGGCTGCCCAGGGCCCCATCCAACCTGGCCTTGAACACCTCCAGGGATGGACGGGGCATCCACAGCCTCTCTGGGCAGCTGTTCCAGCACCTCAATAAAGAACTTCCTCCTGACATCCAACCTCAATCTCCCCTCCCTCGACTTCAAACCATTTCCCCTCGTCCTGCTGTTAACAACCCTTTCCAAGAGTTGACTCCCCTCCCCTCTGCAGGCTCCCTTTAGATACTGAAACACTGCAATAAGGTCAACGAGAAGGGCTGCTCCCGCCCATGCCGTGCCCCCGATGCGCCCCCCCCCCCGGCTCCAAATGAGGGGGGCCCCAGTCCCCCCTTCCCTCCCCCCTCAATCATACACCCCTTACCTGATCCCGCATGCGCTCCTGCTGCCCGCGCAGCGCCAGCGCGTGCTGCGGGTATTTATTCTTCAGGTGGTCCATGAAGGCGTCCCGTTTGCGTTCCATCTCCGACTTCTGGAGGCCTGTGAGGGCCTCGAGGCTCTGGGCGGCGATGACGGTGTGCCGGCGCTCCGAGGTGTGCACCAAACCTACGTTGGAGAAGCGCCGCGTGCCGTTGCCCAAAGTGCGGTACTCCCGCGGGTACTCGGCATCGTCGGCCGAGATCATGTGGGCGCTGGTCCTGTCGGGATCTGCACGGGGAGGGAGAGCAGAACGGGGTGAGGGGGAGCCCCCTGGTGGGTTTGGGGGTGCTGTGGTGTGGGGACGGGGGCGAGGGGTGGTGTTAAATGTGGCTGAGCCCGGCCGGGTGTGGGGTCATCCCTTGGTGGGATGCAAGCGGTGGGGGTGGGAGGGGTGCAGGGTTTCGTCCCACTGTGATGGTGGGGGTGATGAGGGCAGGGGGATCAGGGAGGGCTGGGGGCTACGGGAGGGACAGAGGGGCCGGGTGCTACCAAGACCCCAACATTTGGGCTGAAACATGGAATGAACAGCTCTAGGGTACCAAAACGGCACAGACGAGACACAGGAGCCGGGCACCGCCCTGCGGCACAGACAGACAGAGGGACACAGACACACGGACAGACCAAAAAAGAAAATGAAAGGTGGGCTGGGGAGGCTTGCATCGTCCCATCAGTGCTGCACCGTGCTGCTGCCTGTGGCCGGGGACCCCCCCAGAGCCATTCCAGCCCTCGCAGAGCTCAACAGCGGATGCTGGCAGCGCTCATCCCTTCACCACCACAGCCATTCATCAGCATCACGCCATGACTTTAATCCCCGGGGAAGCCGTGCCGACTGCTCACACACCACGAGTGTAACTCATGCCTGGAAGTCCCTGCATGCTGCCAAAACCCATCACCAACACAGTGAGTGCGGAGTGCCCAACCCCGTGGCACTCAGCCCCATCCGTCCCAGTGCTGCTGCTGAGCTCAGGGACCTCGTGCTGCCCAGCCCACGTCACCCCACAACCACCAGCTCCAACTGTTTGGCAACCTGCAGCGCTCCTGCTGCGGGATTCACCACCGTGAGGCTTTCCTTTCACTCCTGTTTAACCTTGATTCATTATTCATCTCCTTCCTTTTCCCCCTTCCTTCCCGCTAAGCGAATCATAGAGAGCTTTTCCTTTTCCCTTAATTATTTATCAGCCCAACATATCAGCTTTATAACGAGTGATTGTGTTATTAACGTGGGACAGGATTTCTGTCTGCGCTGCCGACGCCACTCGGCTGCTCAAGGTCATACGGAGGGGTTTGCTGTGAGTTGGGTGATTGTGGGAATACAAGAGAAACTGTTCAGAGCAGAAGCTGTGGAGCAAGATAAACGGCAGGTGATGACATCAGTGCAGCCCCCAGCAAAAGCTTTGGGGACATCAAAGCCTTGGGGACACCAAAGCCTTGCGACATCAAAGCCCTGGGACTCCAAAGCCCTGGGACACCAATGCCCTGGGACTCCAAAGCCCTGGGACACCCTTCCTTGCATTGACAGCAGAATCTGAGCAAGCACTGCAACTCCTGATCCATCCCAGCTCAGCCCAGTCCCCGTGTCACCCCTGCACCGTGATGATGTGCAAAGAGCGCATGGATGGATGGATGATGTCACCATGGAGGTGACAGCTGGGTATGGTGCTACCTGTGTGCATCTCTCCCTTTGTGTGACAGCCCTCAAACCACGCTGCTCGCTGTGGGGCTGCTATGGGGCTGCAAGGCCCTCCTGCCCTCAGCTGGTCACAGAGTGCTTGTCTGGAGGGCAGAGCAGTGGAGATGCGCAGGGGCTGCACCCAGAACCCAGTGCTCAGAACTCAGAACCCAGAACTCAGCACCCAGAATCCAGAACCCTGCACCCAGAACTCAGCTTCCAGAACTCAGAACCCAGAACCCAACATTCAGCACCCAGAATCCAGAACCCAACAGTCAGAACCCAGCATCCAGAACTCAGCACCCAGCATCCAGAACCCAGAACCCCGTATCTAGAACCCAGCACCCAGAATCGAGCATCCAGAACCCAATACCCAGACCCAGCATCCAAAACCCAGCACTCAGAGCCCTGCATCCAGAACCCAACATCCAGAACCAGCACCCAGAATCCAGCACCCAGAACCCTGTATCCAGAACCCAACAGCCAGAATCCAGCACTCGGCACCCAGAATCCGGAACCCAACACCCAGAACTGAGCACCCAGAATCGAGCATCCAGAAGCAGCACCCAGAATCCAGAACCCAGCACTCAGAGCTCGGCACCCAAAACTCAGCTTCCAGAACAGCACCCACCATCACAGAACCCAGAGCCCAGCACCCATCGCAGCCACCCTCCTGACTCTTTCCCACCCCCCTCCCGGTGCTGAGCCTCACATCAGCATGCAGCTCCCTGCTCCTTGATTACACGCTCCAGGAGCGGAACGCGGCAGCTCGCTGTCTCTCTGCGACTGCTAAAGAGGATGATTTGAAAAGCCCTGCACAATCAGCACCGGGTAAGAGCAGAGCTGGGAACCGACGGGGGCTCTTCCACCTCTGAGCATCCGCTCCTGAACTCCTCTCTGGGCTCCAGCAAGAACACGAGCAGGCATCCCGAAAGAGGAGATGCAGACCCCCGCTTCACCCCTCTGATTCCATCAGTGGGATGGGATGAACATCCTCCAGATGTGCTCCCACAGCAACCAGAATCCAATGGGAAATCCTGGAAATCTCCCTCCGGGCAGCAAGGATCATCCATCCATCCTCCTTACCGGGTGCTGTGGGTGGGAGAGGAGCCCCAAATCCTGCCCTGCGCCCCGTGAGAGTCACAGCGGGGTGGGCATCCAGCAGGGTGGTCCGCCTCGATTCCCCCCCCCCCCCCCCCCCCCCCCGCCAGCAGCTTGGCGGGGGTTTATCAGAAAAAGGATCTTTCAAACACAGTTTATTACTGCAGTTTCATAAATCTTCATGAAGCAGCCGAGCTCACGCGGGCCGTGAAAGCTGTGACAGTTAGCAGAGCATGAAAAATAGTCCGAGAAAGCAATTGTACCAAACGGGGAGAGGGGAGGGGAAGGAGAGATTACGTGTGGGGAGAAAGGGAGGCGGAAGAATAGAAGCCCTTGGAGCTACGCAGCTCCACACAGCCGGCCATTAGGGCAGCTGGGAGATGCGCTCGCCTTCCCCGAAACGCTGCAGCCGCTGAGCTGCAAAGTGCTGCTGTGTGCAGCACGTGAGGACACGGCCTGGAGAGCCCCGTGCTGCAGTAACCCCTTCTCTGCCACGCTGCTGCAAGGCACTGGGATGCAGCCATAGGGGAAGGGCAACGGGAGGCGATGCTCGCGGGGATGTGCTCAGGTTGATTGGAGCCAGGACCTATTGCAGGGGGGGGGAAGGAATGAAGGGCTGTGCTGTGCTCAGCCAAGCAGCTGCGTTAGGATGGGGCTGTGGGGGTAAGGTGAGCTGTGCTATGGGACCTGGTGAACACAGCCAAGGTGTGATGCTGGGTGCTGGTGTCCCACGGAGCACGAAGCTCAGGGCACAGCTCTGTCCAGGACGCACTCTGGCTTCTCTCCAGCAGTCATTCCTCGCCTGGCATTTTGCTGTCAGAAGGGACACCCCCCCCACAGCAACCCTTGGTCCCAGTTTGGCACCCACTGAGCCTCAGCCCCAAGCTGTGCCTGGTGGGAACTCCTCTGAATGGCTGGGGGCTGCAGGGGGGGGAGCTTAGCAGCAGCTCACCCAGTGCCAAAGCGTGAGACGAGGGTTCTCTATGCCCATGTGGCACCGCTCGGTGGGGCTGTCCCAGCACATGAACATCACAGCAGGAGCACTGCATGCCCTCCCCTGCCTCCCAGCAGCCTCGTGCAGAGCAATACGAGGAGCAAAAGCTCACAGACGGCTGTGCTGAAATCTTCCGTGTGATCTGCTCACTCCCGAGTTGATGGAGACCCAGTGTGGGGCAGAGAGTGCCCACCCCAATACAACCCCTGACCTTGGCACAGCGGTGCTAATGCCACCCCCATCCCCCATCCCCCATCCCCAGGGGTCTCCCCCACGATATGGAGCCTTTCTCTCTCCATTAAAGAGGATCCAAGGGAGACAAAAAACACCGACCACTGATCGTTTCATCGGGAAGTTCCCAGCCCCACTCCACTGGGACCATGCCAGGATGCCAGGACACCCCATGGGCTGGCAGCGCTCGGTGCCCCCAGTGCCGGATGTGTCCCTGCAGACCCAGCCCTGCCTGTCCCCAGCCATGATGTGCCCTGGCCACTGCAGCTGCCAAGAAGGCAGGAAGCAGCACAGGATCCATCCGGGCACGTAGGGGTACATTGGTGGCAGCCGTGCCCCATCTCAGGCTGGCACCCAGCCCTGGGCTTTGCTCTGAAAGCGGGGACACGAGCGGCTCAATTCCCATGTCTCAAATCACGTCTCAACCCAGAGAGCCCATCTGGCCCGGCCCCACGAAAAGCAGCAGCTCCTTCCCACCCCGCTGGGTGTCATCACACCCACACACACACAGAAAGGGAAGCGAGGGCACCCCGCTCCCCCAGCCACGAGCTCCGTGCCGGGTACCAGCAGCACCAACCGACGCATCCATCATCAGGGCCGTGAGTTGGGCTATGGGCACACAGCCCCCTGCAGCCCCCAGCCCTTTCCACAGCCACCCTCCCAGCCCTCCTCTTTCCTGCGCTGTCTCGTTGGCTCAGCATCTCCCCTCGAGCTGCTCCCATCCTCATCCCAGAGCTCCTCACGGAGCTGCCTTTGCTTTGGTGGAGGGGGAAAATGAGCACGGAGGGTGAGCTCACAGAGGATGCGCGATGCACGAGGATGAGTCACGGCCAGCAGAGCTGGGCAAAGCTTCCTTCTGCTGCCAGCTTCCTCCCTGACCCCTGGCAGCGGGCCGGAGCTGGCGGCATCCCCTGAGCAGCGCTGCCTGGGGAAGTGGGGAGGGGCTGGGGGAGATGCCAGCAGTTCAGGAACTGGATTAAAATACAGCAGGGGTGGCACGGCACAAACACACAGTGTGTGGTGGCCTCCTCTCTCACCCACGTGGCAGCAGATCCAGGCAGTGCAGCGAGGATGGGATGAGCCCATGTGGCTGCAGCCAGATCGCAGCCTGGGGGGATGCCCTCAGATCTGAGGGGGAAACTGAGGCATAGGACTGCAGAGGGAATGGCCCAATCCAGAGGGGGCAAACGCAGGGCACGGCTGCCAGCAGGGATATGGAGATGTGGAGGGGTCAAACCCCAGGTGGGAAAAAGTGGAAAGCACAGGCAGAGGCACTTGGTTTGGATGTACATCTCCTGAAAGGACCCCAAGCTTCCCAGCAGCCGGCAGCTCTGTCTCACTCCCACCGCTATGCTGAGCCAGGCGTGGGGCAGTGACTCACTGCGTCGTGCAGCAAAGTGCTGCCAAACCCCTTCTCCACACAGAGATCCCATGTGCAGCCTGGGGAGAGGCAGCACGGGGATGAACCCGAGGTTGGGAAGGACCTGAGAGCGCAAAACCCTGCAGAGCTGCTGTCTCCATCACCCTTTTGCATCTGTACCACTGCAGGAGTGCTGCAGCGTGGGTCTCACCGCTCCGACTTCAGCTGCTCAGGCAAATTGCTCTGGAAATCAATTCCAATCTATCAGGCATCAGGAAAGCGATAAACTGCCCCTCAAGACACCAAATCGATGCTTCCTCTTAGGCCAGAGCAGAGCAGGGGGTGGGGAGCAGGGGGCCGGGGTCCTGCTGCAATAGGACAGAAGGAAACAGCCCACTTGGTTGGAGGGAAATGGCCCCAAAATGAGGGCAGGGGTAAGGCAGGCAGCTCCCACCCCATCTGTGCCCCACCTGGCACCAGCACATCCCTGCCCTCCTGCCCAGCACCCCCCTTTCCCAGCAGTTAATTGGCTTTTAGGTACAGAAGGAGAAAGGGAAAAGGAGGAAGGAGGGAATCCTAAACAGCATGGGCTGCTCGGAGCAGACCTGCAGAGAAGCAGTGCTCCCCATAAGGAATCAGTGGGAGATGCAAGACCTCATCTGAGCCCCATGGTCAGGGTTTGGGGTGGTGCCTTGCTGGCTTTGGAGGCAGGCAGGGGCACGAGCCAGGGGGGAGAAGGGGCTGGAGGGAAACACGACAAGATCAAAAATCAATTCCCACTCCTTCCTCTAATGAGACACCAAGCAAAGTCGCTGAGCAGAGCAAGGCCACCTTGATTGCTTCGGTGAGAGCAGAAATGAGGATCAGCAGCACACAGGTAGCAGAGAGGTGGCAGCTCCAGGACATGGCAGTGCCTGGTGTCACCCATCCCAGTGCAGCAGGATGGCTGCAGGACCCCCCTGTGTTGGGTGACAGCCAAGAGCAGGGTGCTGTGCTGCATGGGGATGCACCTTTGTCCCGCAGATGGGAAGGGCAGCATTGTCATTTCAGCTTGGAAATAGAGGGGCAGGATTTGACCGGAGAGCTTGCAGCCAAAGGTGGAAAAGAAATGCGACAGGTTGCTGTAGAGGGAGGCAAAATGATGGGACAAAAGCCCTGTGAAGGGGAGCGTGGGCCGTGCACTGCACCAGCCCTGGGGTTGTGCAGAATGCACTCAGTGCAGTTTTTCAGGCAAGTTAATCACTTCCTCTAATCTGCTGCCATTAGTGCAGTCATGCTAACTGCTCGCCTCGCTGATGGGAGGCCGGAGCTGCCTGACAGGAGCTTCGATGGCACGCTACACCTCATCAAAAGCAAATCCATCTGGAAGAGCACAGCGGGAACAAGGTGGGGGGAGGCTTGGGGAGGGGGGGGAGGCTGCCCCTCCTTCTCTCCTGCAGGGAAGCAGAGCTCTGGATGGTGCCACAAAGGGGAAAAACTCAAATCAAACCCAAAGCTCCCCCAGTCCTTGCCTGAGAGGCTGGGAGCAGAGCCTTGGGGCAGAGCTCTGAGATCTTGGGGGGGGTTAAGGGAGGGGACAGGAGCCTGGCACAGCTCCTGTGCTGGCACGAGGGCACGCAGCTCCTTCGAGGAGTTGGCTCCTGCTGTGATCAGTGCTGGCAGCAATGCAGCCCAAAGCCCAGCCGTACCCAGAGCACCACGTGGGAAATGGGCATTTGGGGATCCTGTGCTGCTTTGCACAGAGCTGGGGTGGTGCTGCACGGGGGGGGGAGGATGCTGGGGAAGCTATTTCTGTGTTATGGAGGGGCTTGAGAGCAATGCTCCAGACGGGGAGGGGAGGACAGCCCCTATTTATAAGCATGCAGGTAGCACGTAGGTTGGTCACAGCCTGCTCTGCCAGCCCGGTTAGTCACAGCGAGCTGCAAGTCAAAAAGGCTGGGAAAAACACACAGATCTATGCCTAAAGCCTTGGAGGTGCCAGAAAGCGAGCCCATCATCTGAATAACCGGGGCAGCCGTGCCGGAACAGAGCTCTGGGCACACGGAGAGACACAGCCGGGCCACGTCCTGCTGCCAGAGCTCCCCACGGGGCTCCCCAGATCCACCACCAACCCTCAGCACACCACGTCCAGCCACGGGACGAAAGCATCGCAGCGTCCCTCCAGGAACATCCTCACATCCCGCAGCAGATGCCACCCATCCCTCCTCCATCCCCAACCCGGAGCAGAGCCGCATCTCTCCGAGTCCTTTCCACCAGCGCCCGCCCGCGGCTGCCCAAACATCGCGGTGTAGTCAAGCAAAAGGAGGGCACAGCAGCTGCCTGCAGCACCCAGCATCCCGCCCGGCCCATCCCAGCATCGCCTCCGGGCACACATCACCCCCCATTCCCCCTCCACGTCCCCAATCCGTACCCACGAGCAGCGATGGCAGCCTGCGGTCCCCGGGCTCCGAGGCTCTGTCCTGCTCCCGCAGCCGAGGGGAAGCGCCCGAGGGAAGCTTCGCCCAGCGAGGAAGCATGGTGACACCCGGGCAGGGAGGAACCGGGAAACGGCTCCAAAATCTGTGCGATAAACACATGCATCGTACGGCATATGTTGAAAGCGAATCAAAACCCGCTTTTACTAATCGCTCGGCATTTCAAGCAACACGTCGTCTCTGTCAGGTTAAATCTAGGGAGGCTCGCGTTAGCTGCTCGCGTTAATTAAATACAGGAGCGGCTCATTACGAAACGCGCACGCAGAGAAGGAGAGCAGCGGGTTGCGCCGTCACCAAACCCCGTTCACGGCACTGACCTCGAGGAGCAGCGCGCAGCCACCGCTCGGCACCTCCGCGTCACATCGGCGCGATGGAGAGGAGCGGCCGCGGTGTCACCGATCCCGCACAGCGCTCAGCTGCCACCACGCCGCCGTCCCCGCCGCTCCCCGCTGCTGTCCCCGCTCCATTTCGGTGGCTAAAAATCGCTGCTCCGCTTTCGGTGCCAGCGGCCATCGCATCCTCCCCGGCTCCGTGCCAGCGCTGCGCTCACATCCTCTCTCCCGGCCCGGGAATTTGCCCCCCTGCCCGGCTCGGTTCCTCTTCTCTCTCTGTCTCTCTTGCTCTCTTTTCTGGCTCTTCAAAGCTCCCCGTGGGTCTCTGGGTATTATTATTATATATATTTTTTTTCCTCTCGAAATGTCAGCATGCCCCCTCAGATGCATCACATGGGCTGCAGCCAGCAGCCACTGCACATCCGTGCACAGCGCCGACGCCGTCAGCCCATGGGACGCCCCTCCCTGCTCGCAGGGTCTGCAACGGGGGGGGACGCCAGCAGAGCCCCCAGCAGCCACCGAGCAGCGGCCGAACACTGATTACCGGTGATTAAAGGCAGAGCCCTGCAGCCCCCAGGCAGCTCCAGCACCAGCCGTTCCCCAAAGCCGCCTTCGCCACCTGCCAGAGCGCGAAGCATCCAGCAGCAAAAGCTTTGCTCCCAGCGCTGCTGCCAGCAGCCCTCCCGGCGCGGATCTGACACCCACCCGTGAGCACCGTGAGGATCAGCCCGTGGAAACCAACCCCAGGCTGCTGCCCACTGCCACACAGCTGTGTTCTGCACAGCCCCCGGGCAGCCATCATACGTGGCATTGCTCCCGACCTCCACAGTGGGGACATGGGGGGGATGTGGCAGCCAGCAGCACGTGCACACGGGACCAGAGCTGGGCAGCATCCCCCCCAGCTGCTCCCTGCTTTCCTCCCATCTCATGGCTTTTCCAGGGCACAGCAGCTGCTTTCCAAACTCACCCTTTTTCCTCCTTTCCCCCCCTTCCCGGTGTTTCTCCCCATCGCTCCTGGTGCATTTCAGCATCCTGAAGGCTCTCATGAACTTCTAATTGCTCACGCCTTCAAAGTTCGTCCCACACAACCCGAGAGGTAAAATCAGCTGCTGGGGGCTACAGCACCCAGGAAACCCTTCACCAAAGACACAAAGTGGGGTTTTATCCCATTTTGCAGATGGGGAAACTGAGGTGTGAACAGAGGGTGCAGCACCGCGCAGAGCCTTGGCAGAACCAGGTGTGAGAATCCCAGGCTCTGGGATGAGATACTGCCTCCATCCCAGGGGGTCCTGCTGCCCCCTTCCTATGGGGAAGTGTCCTGGACACGGTGCAGAGACACAAAGCTGAAGGTGTGGGGGCACCAGGAGGGTGCAGAGATGGGAGGATGCTGTGCTGGAAAGGCAAACATGGTCAGTGCTTGCAGCAAGGATTAATTGTCCTTCCCACTGATCCCTGAATCCTGGCTTGCACCCACAGCCGTGCTGCAGGGAGGGCCAGAGGAAGGGGTGACCTTTGAATTCTGATTGCTCTGCTAATGAGAAGCAAATAAGCATTAGTGCAGCTGGAGAGCTGCTCAGAAAGGGCTGCCTGCAGAGAGGGTGGGCACCCGATCTGAAACCCAAAGTTCCCCACTTGAGGACTTCCCAAAGCCACGATTTCTCTCCAACTCAACCCTGAGCTGGCAGTGTGGTGGCATGAGCTGTTGTGTGCACAGAGAGCCTATGGCTGCGTGACACCTCAGCCTCAGTGGGGCTGTGAGCAGCTGCATGCAGCGAGGCAGCTCCCAGGGGGAGGCTGGTAAAAGCAGCTCACACCTCGAGGCGAGGTGCCTGCATTTGCACATGCGATGCCAGACACAGATTTGCAATCAGAGGCTCTCCTGGGAGCTGCCACCAGCACCTGGATGGGGACAGGGGACGGATGTGAGCACTGCAGCAGACATTGGGGTTGGGAGGAGTTGGGGCCGGGAGCAATGGGGTCTGAATACAGTGGGGTCTGTGTGCAATGGAGTTTGGGAGCAGTGGGGTCTGATCATAACAGGGTCTGAGTGGAGAAGGGTCAGGGTGCAGTGGGGACCAGGGGCAGTGGGGTCTGGGTGCAAAAGGGTCTGGTGCAATGGGGTCTGGTGCAATGGGGTCTGGTGCAAAGGGGCCTGGGTGCAATGGGATCTGGGTGCAAAAGGGTCTGGGTGCAATGGGATCTGGGTGCAATGGGGTTTGGTGCAATG